GGTTTGTTCCCAAGGATGCTTATGCAACTTTGGAGGAAATAGCAGAAGAGTATTTTGGGTAGTTGGTTGACAGGAATTTAGTGATTGTGGACAGAGAACTTTAAGTGGTGGGATCAAGACATTTCGAATTCATGACACACTGTAAATGTTCTGCAAGAATATCGCCATAGCAGATCTTTTCGAGGCAGCTGTAAGGGGAACCAATTCATCTTCCACTCATCGAGTTTGCTACATTAACTCTCACTTCTCATAGTACGTTGGTGGAATAAAGGATGCCGAGTAAGTCCGCTCACTCTTGAGCTTTGGCCAAGATGAAACTATCCTTAAGAATGATCCCAGCTCAAGTATAGTTAAGCCCTTCAAACTCCTTTGAGTGTTAGATATTTTATCCATAAACATCAAGTTCCCTCATAGTTTTCCGACCAAATTACCCAACCTTATTCTCCCAAAGTTCATTGCGATCCAAATTACCCAACCTTATTCTCCTAAAGTTCATTGCCATCTATTACAACCTGAAAGTCCTTCCGTCTCATAGTTTTCCGACCAAATTACCCAACCTTATTCTCCCAAAGTTCATTGCGATCCAAATTACCCAACCTTATTCTCCTAAAGTTCATTGCCATCTATTACAACCTGAAAGTCCTTCCGTAAAGCATGTCTAGGTTGTGCAACTTGGAAGCCCTTATAGTTCACACGACTGAACAATTCCTTGATATAAAAGAAGACATTTAGGGGATGACAAAGCTGAGGCATCTAATTACTAATACCACAACATCCTTGTCCAAGTGCCAGAAGCAATGCTCTAGCAAGAAGCAATCCTCTAGCAGTGAAAACATGCAAACTCTATCTGTAGTTTCACCTCAAAGTCTTAGCATTGAAGTGTTTGAAAGGACAAAAAAACTCAAGAAACTTAGTATATGTGACAATTTAGGCATCATTGTGATGTCCGATGGTAATTCTAGTGTCTTTAATGATCTTTGTAAACTAAACTCCCTTAAAACTTTGAAGTTATAGAGTGATAATGTGAACTCCAAGCTGCGTGCCCTTCCTCCATCAAATAAATTTTCAATAAGGATAACAAGATTGAGTCTGCAAAAGACAAGTATAGAATGGGAAGACCGTATCCCTATACTTGGAGAACTTTCGCATCTTGAGGTCAAGTCAAAGGACAATGCTTTTATGGGTGAGAAGTGGCATACAAAAGATAGTAGTTTTCCTCTTCTCAAAGTTTTGTTCATTAATGGAGCTACAAATTTGAAATTTTGGGAGATTAAACCCAATAGTTTCAAAGAACTCAGATGCCTTTTCCTCAAGCACTGCAACATACTTCTGTAGATTCCATCTGAATTCAAACACTTGATGAACCTCGAAAAGATTGACCTAGAGTGCACCAACAAGGATTTAGTTTCTGTTGAATTTGTCTTTGTATCTCACATCGAAAGTTTATAAAGAAATCTCTCCTTGTAGTTGTTATAGATATAGTGGGTTTAAGTGAATTTAAATGTGCTAAGAACATCAGCCCAAATGTCTTATGCACTAGTCTAAGAGAGTTTTAAGGAGGCCCATGCTCTAGTTTGAAAGAAGTTTTGGTTAGGCATCAAACCAAAGAGCAAATTCTATGCTTTTAGACTTATTTAGTCTCTTTTGTATTTTCAGTTTTAGGTGCATTTGAGCCTTGGAATTATTTCCTAGGTTTTGTACTCTCACTTTTGTACTCTCTTTCTATTATAGTAAAGAGTGAATGGCCCAAAAGGTCACTAAACTATTAAAAATGGCACCCTCTGGTCACTAAACTTTTTTTGTGGCCGAAAAGGTCACTAAACTCGCAAAAACTCTCCAGCGAAGTCATTTTACCGAATTTCAGCGGTTCCTCATCCGGTAACATGGTCAATATGGAGTGGAGGAATATAGTAAAGGGGCAAAAATGTCCAAAAGATTATTGGAATAGGTGAAGCCATAGATTGTCTCAATCCCAAACCACTTTTGAACCCATAGATTGACTTCGTCTTCTCCGGCAGTAAAAAAAGTGACTTTGACCACCTGTAAACCAAATCAGAATAGCAAACCTCTTCGAGTTACAGCCTAAACCCATCTAAAAAACAAGAGTAGCCGAGGAAATTGTGAAGCTGGTGATTTCAATGAAGTGGGTGAAGCGACCGAGGGATGAGTATGCTGACCCGTACACGATGTATGGTAAGTTATTAAAAAATTTATTTTGGTGAAGAAGAATGTTGGTAAAAGATAGTGCAAAGTCTGAAAATGTTAATACGAAATGCAAAAATGTCGAAGAGGTTTTAGGGTTTAATGGGTTATTTTATATATAACAAAGGGGGCATGAAAGGGACAAGAGAGAATGGTCCTCCCTTTTGTCGTCATAGTAGGTTACAAGGGGTCCTACATTCGCATATCGTTAAACTAAATTAATTAGGCAGAAAAAATGTGAAATTTATTGTATTTGTTGACTAACTGCTGTATAATATTAAGGTTTTGTGTGGGAATTAGAAATGAACCTGTATTGAAGACTTAAAAATTAATTTCAGATTGTAGTTTTTATTAAAAGATTGGATATCGATCTATCAATTAACAATACCTGCAACTATTTGATCTTTGTGATGCAGAGCATGGATGCTCATTATTTACAGTTAAGATGCGGCATGGTGGTAGAATTGAAGGGGATAAATATAAGAGTTATGTTGGTGGAGAGGTAGACTATTTTGATCTTTGTGATGGTGATACAATGTCATTGCATGAGATTAATGATATGGTGAAAGAGTGTGGCTACAACAAGGATGTCATATTGTACTATTATCTTGATCCAAGAAGTGATATCAACAATGGATTGAAAGAACTCCAAACTGACGAACATATCAGACAGTTTTGTAGTTGGGTGGAGCAGTTCAAGTTGATGGAAGTGATATGCGACCATGTTCCAGATGATGAGGTGTTAAAAATTCAAACAAAGACCATCGTAGAGCCACCGGATGTGCGCAAGTCTACAGTGATCGTTGAGGAAATTGATGATGGGGAGGAACGTCAAACAATGAATGCGTGTAATAGTAAATCTGTGAAGAAAAAGGGTAGATTCCGTACACGATCATTTGCTGCTTTAGAGTGGAAGGATAGCACTATACAAAAAAAAAGCAGTGCATGAAGCTATTGACCAAGGTGATGCATCTACAATTACAGCAGGCTTGCACTCAACTTCTGGAGATGGTGAAAATGAGGGAGAAGGAGGCGAGTGTGATGATGGGGATGGAACATGTGATGCGAGGGAATTTGAACAATACACAGATTATTATCGGGACGATGAAATGTATGAAACACAAAGTATGTAGCAGCCTCCAACACAATGTGGTCAACCACATGAAACTCATGCTGAGTCAAGTGAAAGGCAGCTAGAAAATGAAATTGATATTGGCGAAGGAGATAGTGAAAGGCAGCCAAGTGAGCAACCTAGCCAAGCAGGAACTCAAGCATCAAAAATTACAAATTTGAGGAGGAGTTCTAGGTTGAGCAGCAAATGGAAAGGTGATGTCACAGCTGCTGAAACTACACGGGAAAGTGAAGACCGTGGCCCCCAAACTACACAGCAAACACGGGCAACTAATGCTAGCAATGAAAATCCACTTTTGAATGATGGAATGGAGATGGAACTCAACAGCAATAATGGGTCGTCTGACGAGGAAATCCAAGAGGTAAACATGAATTATACTAACTTTGATATGGAGAAGTTTATGAAAAATCCTGAATTTGAGGTTGGTATGAAATTTGGAAGTAAGGGTCTGTTTAGAGAAGCTATTAGGAATTACTCGATTCTTACTGGGAGACCCGTATTTATGTACACAAATGACAAATCTAGATTGAGGGCAAAATGTGTGGCACCCTGTCCGTGGTTTGTGTATGCTTCTAAAGTTCCAGCATTGAACAACTCAGATTTTGTTTTGAAGACATTGAATGATGTTCACAATCATTGCAGTCATGCCTGGAAAAATAAACACATGTCTACCTCTTGGCTGGCAAACAGATATGAAGATCAAATAAAGTCAAATATGTATATGCCAGCAAAGCAAATTAGACAGGTTGTGGATGAACAATATAAGTGTGAGATTAGTAGAAGTATGGCTTACAAGGCAAGGACTAAGGCTAGGAAGAATATTAAGGGAAGTGTAGCAGAACAATATGCTTTTGTTTGGGAATATGCTGCTGAATTACAGAGGACCCATCCAAATACAACAATTGACATTCAATACAATCCGAGAAATGATCCTGATGAGAGACCTACATTTACCAGATTCTATTGCTGTTTAGGACCTCTCAAAAAGGGGTTTAATGAGGGTTGTAGGCCCATTATAGCACTTGATGGGTGTCACACAAAAGGAGCATATCCGGGACAATTGTTGACAGCTATTGGGCCAGATCCCAATAATGGATGGTGGCCCATTGCTTGGGCTGTTGTTGAAAAGGAGGCAAGAGAGCAGTGGCATTGGTTTCTGAGCTTATTGATTAAAGACTTGCAAATAGCCACTGCCAGCAGTCATTACACATTTATTTCGGACCAACAAAAGGTGAAGCACTCATATCTTATCATTATTGTTGATATTAGTTACTATTTGGTTTATTAGAGTTGACCAATTTTTCACAATTTGTTATTGTAGGGGCTTGATAGTGCACTTTTGGAACTTCTTCCATATTGTGAACACAGATTCTGTGTTCAACACATGTACAGAAATTTCAAGAAAAAACATCCTGGGCAGATTTTAAAAGATAGACTATGGAGCATTGCAACAGCTACAACTGTTGAGTTGTATGAGGCAGAACTTGATGACTTGAAAGAGTATGACCAGCTTGCATATGCATGGGTCAAAAGGGCACCACCACCACAGCATTGGTGTAAGGCATTCTTTCCTCATCATGTTAAATCTGATATGTTAGTTAATAATCTCTGTGAGACGTTTAATGCAAAAATATTAGAATACAGGGATTTACCTATTATTGGAATGATGGAAGGAATTAGGGAGTATTTAATGGGTAGAATAGGAGATAGGGCGGTTTGGATGAAAAAATGCCCTGGTGCTGTTGGTCCAACTATTAAGGAGTTGATTGAAGAGAGGGCAAAACAGTCTAGGAAATGGAAAACTGTGGCAAATGGTGATGGGGGTTATCAAGTCAAAGGGCCTAAAGGGGAACAATATGCTGTATATGTACAAGAAAGAACATGTACTTGTAATTTATGGCAAGTTAGTGGCCTGCCATGCTGCCATTCCATTGCAGCACTTCATAGAATGAATGAGGACCCGTGCATGTATACTGATGGGTGTTACTCCAGGGAACTATTTTTAAAAATTTATGAGAATGTCCTCTACCCTATCAGTGGAAAAGCACTTTGGCCAACTAGTACAAATCCGGTGTTAGGCCCCCCAATACCATGTGTGCAAGCGGGAAGACCTAGAAAGGCAAGAAGAAAAGATGTTACAGAGAATAGAAGCCACTCTGGGTCACAAAATGCAACTGTCCACAAAATGAAAAAACATGTTGTTATGCATTGTAGAAACTGTGGTTTGGCAGGTCATAATCGAGCTACATGCAAAGCTCAAGATGGTGCTGAAACTGAGCATTTAAGACAGCAAAATGCAACTGGCCAACCAAACAAATTTGTAGCTCCGGGTTGTAGTGAAGAGGATGCTGTTCCCAAATCTAGAGAAGAGAGTGTTATGCATGAATCTGGTGAACAGAATGCTGAAAATGTTGACGTTCAAGTTGGCAATTTTTTCCAACAATATGATAATATTGCTGTTCAGCCATCAACTTTAGAAGGTGCACAACAATCAATGGAAGGAGCAAATGTTGCTGCCGAAGGTGACACTAGTAATCCAACAGAGATGTTGAGGACGATTGCCAGTCCAACTAATAAGAGGCAAATTAGAAAGATAAAGACCCCTGTTAGCTATCAACCTTTCTAACTATTGTATATTGTAATTGTAGTTCTTGGAATAACTGAGTGAAATGTTATTTGGTTTTTGTGATCAGGTCCGGCGAACTCGACCAGATGCTCCCAGAACAACAACAAGTCAAAAAGATCCTCGTCCGGCTGCATCTACTGATAATACGCAGAAAAGGGTGGTCCAAAAAAAGAGAAAATTGACGGATGCCGAAAAGGGTGCGATCAATGCCAATTATGCATATTTGGGAAAAGAACCACCATTCAAGGTTGGAAATTGGGCAGGAAGATCATTTGGAAGAGGACGTGCAACTTAATGATAAACTGTTAAATAACTTTTGTAGTCTTTTTGTAAATCTTTTTGTAGATCATTGGGCGGGAAAATGTAATAGCTTTTTGTTGCCATTTTGTGGGAGTCAAACATACCTTTTGTCCACCTATTGTAATACAACCAATTCTGATCCAATGCAATGACTCTTTTATTTGCCATTCACTACTTAATCATTGGAATGGGCTATTGTTCTTGTCAAATTAATTGATTAGTCAACAGCAGAACTCATAATTAACATTTTCAAAGATCCAAAGTCAACACAATTACTAGCTTCATTAAGTACAATTGCATTGTACATACCAGCAATCCAAAATCTCTGCATTCTACAAACTAGTATTTCGCAACATTTCTTTCATACACTAGCAATTTGCAACCTCTTCGAATTTGGCATTGTTGGCTCATGCATCCATATTAACCACACTGTAACAACCACCCCAATCACAAAAACACTTTTTGCTAGCTTTCTTGTCCTTTGTTTTTTTTCCAATTGCTCCTTTAGTCTTTTTATCTCCAGTGCCATCTCGTTTGCTTTGCTTTGCCATCCCCGAACCTCCTTTTGCAGAGCTTCATTCTCAGCTTCTAATTTGTTCTTACTTCTTAACAGGCCAGGTATTACTTGCTTAGCTCTCTCACAAATTTCTTCATCATACCAGTCCCAAAATCCACACCCTCTAACCTGCAGCAACAAATATTTACATTTTATCCATCTTGTAAACTCGCAAATATCCATTAAGTAATTATCTTACCTGATTTTGAGCACATTCAATAAATCTTCGCGCTGGATTTCTTTCTGTCCATGAGGTCTTCAAAATAGTTCTAGTTCCGCACTTGCAGAATGGAATCGGTTTATTGCGTCTTGCCATAAGTCATTGGACAGGATGAAATGGAAGGAGATTTTTCCTTGAATAGATGAGAGAAGATTTGTCTTTCAACAAATGAAAAGAGAACTCAGCTAATTTCTAGATCTAAGGCACGACTTGCGAGAGAAAAAAAGGTTGACCATATTTTGTTTGACATTTTTGCCCCTTTACTATATTCCTCCACTCCATATTGACCATGTTACCGGATGAGGAACCGCTGAAATTCGGTAAAATGACTTCGCTGGAGAGTTTTTGCGAGTTTAGTGACCTTTTCGGCCACAAAAAAAGTTTAGTGACCAGAGGGTGCCATTTTTAATAGTTTAGTGACCTTTTGGGCCATTCACTCTATAGTAAATCTGCTACCTTTTCGCTCATGGACGTAGGTTAGTTCAGCCGAGCCATGTAAAATTTTGTGTTTTTCTGTTTGATTTATTATTGTCTTTATTGGGTTGTCAAGAGCCATATTGTTCTCGTTGATCAATTTCCTAGGACCAAACCTGTCAAATTGGTATCAGAGTTTCAAGTTTTAAGTTTAGGTTTGGTTAAAATTTTTGGTTCTTGATGACAATAACAAACTATCAATATCAATTTTGAGCTTTACAGAAAGTGAAGAAAAAAATTTTCCGTTGGAGTTCAGTTGGGTTTTGAAAAAGAGTTATTTGACCCGTTGGAACTCATTAAGAATTTTGTAAAGAAGGTGGAGCAAGATTACTATGTTCATGACTTTTAACCCATTGGGATATATTGAACTTTTTGTGAGTTTTGGCCCGTTGGGACCTGTTGAGTCTTTTGTATCTTGGTTCATTGGTGGCTCGTTGAAATCTGTTAGCACTTTGGTGGCTTGTTGAAAACCATTGGGACTTTTATGGAGAACATGGAGCGTGTTTGCTATTTATCTATTATTTATCGATGTTGGATACGCGCCAAGATGGCGATTTATTAAGTTTGTCTTTATATCCCATATCAAAAGTTTACAAAGAAATCTCTTCTTGTACTTGTTATAAATACAGTGGGTTTAAGTGAATTTAAGTGTACTAAGAGCATTAGCTCAAGTGCCATATTCACCAATCCAAGAGAGTTTTAGGAAGGCCCATGCCCCAGTCTGAAAGGAGTTTTGGTTAGACATCAAACCAAAAGAATAAGTTATGGGTCTTTGGACCGTTAAGTATTTTGTGCTATTTAGATTCTTTCGTATTTTTAGTTTTAGGTACCTTTGAATCTTGGAATTATTTCTTAGGTTTTGTATTCTCACTTGTGTACTCTCTTTCTATTATAGTAAATCTCCTATCCCTTCGCCCGTAGACGTAAGTCAGTTCGATGAAACCGCGTAAAATTTTGTATTTCTCTATTTGATTTATTTGATTTGTTATTATCTTTATTGGGTTGCTAAAAACCCTATTTTCTCATTGGTCAATTTTTTGGGACCAAACCTAAGAGGGTTAAAGAATCAAGGCAGCAAAAGATTAAGTTCAGCGTTTATCCTCCAGAATGGTGATTGCCAAGTAAAGATGCTATGTGGTTGCTTCTTTTGAGAGGTTAGTCAGACAGTTCAGACTTGAATTGCTAAATATATTTCTTAATGCATCATCTTCTATGAAATTAAAAAAAGCAATTTGCAGGATTTCATGTTCACTAGCTTTGTTCTTCTGCTCCATCGAATGAATTCTTAAAATCGAGGTGCTGAAGATTTGATTCCTTTGGGTTCTCTTCTTTGTTCTGCATTAATAGAGCCTATCTGCCTATCTCTTGCCAACAACATATAGCTGCTATAATCTCTTTTGATAATTTTTGTTTCTATATCTTTGATAATGTAAAACTTTCCTTTCACCAAGTGTGTTGAATAATGTACTGAATCAATTAGTTGGAAAGCTTGTAAATGAGATGTTTGGCAAGAGGAATCTTCTCTATTTATCTAGAAGGTTGAAAATTAAGAAGGTTTTTGGTAAGTGTGGTTGAAAATCTTCCCTGTGTATCTAGAATGATCAATTATAATTATAAATTGGCATTGTAGGCTCCAAAGCAATAGAAGAGTGAAAGAAATGAAAGAAAGAAACAATTGAAACTAGTCTTGTTTCCAAATATTCTTCTCAAATTTTGACCTAATATCCAACAAAATTGGTATCAGAACCAAGGTTTCATAACCTTAGTTCATCCCCTAAAACCAGAAAAATTTGAGAAATTTCCAACCATACAAGATGGCCAATAATACTAGCGATGGTCTTCCAATTTTCATATTCTCTGGTGAGCACTATGATCATTGGTACATAAAAATGAGAACAATTTTCAAATCACAAAATTTGTGGGAATATGTAGAGAATGGCCATATAGAACCGGAAATTGAAAAAGGTCTCACTAATCAAGAATTAAAGGCACTCAAGAAGTATAGGAAAAAGGATGCAAAAGCTCTTTCACACATCCAACAAGGTGTGAGTTTGGATATATTTTCAAGAATTATGGGAGCCGATCATGCCAAGGAAGCATAAGAGATTCTACAAAAACAGTTCCAAGGGAATCTCAAGGTAAATAATATTACTCTTCAAACTCTTAGAATAGATCTTGAAAATTTGAAGATAAGTGATGATGAAAGTATTCAAAATTACTACACAAAAATCATCACAATTGTAAATAAAATGAAAACCTTTGGTGAAGAGATTACTGATAGTAGAATTGTTGCAAAGATTTTTGTTAGTTTGCCTTCAAAATTTGATCCAATGGTGTCCATAATTGAGAAAACAAAAAATATTTCTTCAATGAGTGTTCAAGAGTTGATGGGATCCTTGAAACCTCATGAGAGAAGGTTAGCTAGACATGCTGAAAAATCTGTTGAAAGTGCTTTCCAATTGAAACTGAATTTCAGCCCTAAGACCAATGAACGAGATCCATCTTGTAGCTACCAAAGAGGTGAAGACTCACAAAGAGGCGGTAGATATGGCCGTGGAAGAGGCCGAGGTAGAAATTCAAGTGGAAGAGGAAGAAACAACCTTCAAAGAGGCCTTAATGCTGAAAATTCACAACCTTGCAACTATTGTGGCAAGACCAATCACCTTGAGAAAAATTGTTGGTACAAAGACAAGCCAAAGTGCTACTATTGCAAAAGATTTGACCATATTGAGAAGAATTGCAGATTCAAGATCGACAAGCTAGGAGAAGGAAACTTATTCTATGTTTGTCACATGGCCATGAAGTTAAGAACAGTATGTGGTACCTTGACAGCGGCTATAACAATCATATGACAAGAGATAAATTCATTTTGTTGACTTGGATGAATCTATAAACACTGAAGTGAAGATGGAAAATGGAGTCATAGTTTAACCACAAGGATTGGGAAAAATTGGTGCCCAACCAAGTAAGGTACAAAGTTCATTCGTGATGTTTTGTTTGTTCTTAATTTAGACCAAAATTTATTGAATCTTGGACAACATATCCTAAAAAAAAAAAGTCTTGGCAGCTTCTTGAGCATAAATATGCACTTAACTTTGATGATTATGAG